GATTATTGTTGAACAATTGTAAATATCAATGCTATAATTCATCCAATCAATATTTTTTGTTCACATACGTATCTTTTTTTTATTTTTACTAGATTTTATATTTTTTATTTATAAATTAAGATAACTTTGATATTAAGGTTTTGACAGAAAATTGCATATATTATTATTGTTCATATTAATAAGTGACCATATAAGAAATCATACATAATATATAAGTAAAACATAAGTTAAATTAAATATTAATATTAATTTATAATTTAAAATATTACAAACATTAAGATCTACCTCATATAATGTTACAATACAAACATATTACCGAATGAAAAAAAAATCTTTCCATCTATCATACATTCCACTAAGATCACTAGTGGAGGGTTTTTGATGACGGTGGTTATAYAATTTAGACAGTTAAATATATCATTTAAAAGAACCAAGGGTTGATTCTTCTTTTTATCAGCAATGTTTTTCATCATCTAACATAAAAGAGCATAAGTTATAATAATATTTACTATTATATTTTATTCCTAACAGCAACACGGTACACGCATGCACAAAATATTATGAACTTAACACTCTTATTCTTAATCTTATATTATAAAGTCTATTCTTATTTACCTCCGGTATCAACATTCTTGGTTTTTTGCTGAATATAACTGATTCTATATCGTCTTGAATTACCTAAAACAAATTACATACCATTTATAATGATAACATATGCAATGAATTTGATCATTTACATAAGTTTTTTTTTWAATTCTACCTCTTACATGTTTCAAACTGTGTGTTAAATTCGTTTCATGTGATTTCGCTAGCAGTATACTTTTATACATATAAATAGACAACGGTTAAGATATACTAAGTAATAATCATATATACAATGATATTCAATTTAGTTAAACATTATGTAATTTAATTCGTTTTATCGAGAACAGACTAAGAATAATTCAAATATTCGATTGAATGATATTTAGGTCTATTATTGCTATTTAATTAAATCTATCTTCTGACCATAGTTCTAATATACATATATCTGTACCGAATTTCATCGCAATCAGTTCAGCCGTTTAGAAATGCATATAGGACAAACAGACAGAAATCCATTTTTATATATATAGGTATATAAATATAGCTTTAGAAGTCATCGTCCACGGATGGTGAGCCAGACTACAGTGAACGGAACAGTCCTGTATATTTGCATGAGTAATTTCACGGGATAAACAAAACATTATACGTACGTATAGTTTTTATTATATATTAAAAATTATTATGTTTATATATTAATTTGTCTAAAACGTTATACACAGAAATAAGCTAACATTTTTATAATATAATAATATACTATTATTATATTATAAATCATTGTTTTTCTGTCGTCACAGCTATTTAGAAATTACCATGTATCTAAATTAAATTAATTAATTGAAAATAAAAATAATACAATGACCAACATTAAATCATGTAATGGCTGGCTATTAAGATATTTATAATTTTAATGTTTAGATCATATAGGCGTGCACACGGGAGGTGTAGGGTATGCAACTGCACCCCCAGCGAGTTCAGCTTAGAAATAGATAGATAGATAAATAATACTTTTTAAGTTATAATTTTTTTCAAACCCGCAGTCACGCGATGAGTTCAAACCTCACGACCCCCCCCCCTCTTGAGTACGCCCCTGGCTCAAAACAAATCAAAATATTTTGAAAATATTATAAAATATAGAAAATGTTAGCAGCACAGCTATGACAGACACTCAAAAAACACATCCAACAAACTTGTTGGACATTGTTGGATCAATCTCAGAATTTGTTGGACATTATTTTCGCCGGTAGAGCTTTCGACATTTTTGTGCTGCCAAAATTACTACAACAGCACAACTTTACGTCAGAAAAATTTCACCCCTATAAAAAATTTCAAGAGTGATTTGTTGGATATCGTTGGACTAATCTGACAATTTGTTGGAC